TAGGCAATGGTTTCTTTAGATATGACACCAAAAGCAAAAGCAACAAAACAAAAATATTAGATAAATAAGACTTCATCAAAATTTAAAACTTTTGTGCTTCAAAGGACACCATCAAGAAAATGAAAAGACAACCCACAAAATAGGAAAAAATATTTACAAATTATATATTTGACAATGGATTGTATCTAGAATATATGAAAAAAAAACTCTTACAACTCAATAGTAGTCAAATAACCCAATTTAAAAATGGTCAAAGGATCTAAATAGACATTTCTCCAAGGAAGATACATAAATGGCCAATAAACACAAGTAAATATGCTCAATATCATGTTAGCCATCAGGAAAATGCATTTCAAAACCACAATGAGCTACCACTTCATACTCATAGGAATGGCTATAATTAAAACACACACACACACAACAACAACAACAGGGAATAACAACTGTTAGCAAGGATGTGGAGCAACTAGAACCTTCATTCACAAAATCTTTTATATAAGTGTTCATATTCACAATAGTCAAAAAGTAAAAACAACCCAAATGTCCATCAACTGATGACTGGATAAATAAAATATGATATGTCCATACACAAGAATATTATTCAGCAATAAAAAGAAATAAAGTACTGACATATGCTAAAACATAAATGAAACTTGCCAACATTATGCTAAGTGAACAACCAATAACAAAAGGCCATGCATTTTATTATTTTATTTATATAAAATTTCCAGAATAGGTAAAGCTACAAGAGACAGAAAGTAGATTAGTGATTGCCTAGGGTCAGAGGTTAGGAAGGAAATGGGGAATGATTGCTAATAGGTATGGGTTTCTTTTAAGGGTGATGAAAATGTTCTAAAATGTATTTTTTGTTTGTTTATTGTTTTTATTAATCTTCACCCGAGAATATTTTTCCATTGATTTTTTTTTGTTTTTTTTAGATAGAATGGAAGGGAGGGAGGTAGAGAGACAGAGAGAGAGACACTAATGTGAGAGAGACACATGAATTGGTTGCCTCCCGCATGACCCTGACTGGGGCCAGGGATCAAACCTGCAACCCAGGTACATGCCCTTGACTGGGAATCAAATCCTCAACCCTTCGGTCCAAGGGCTGATGCTCTAACTGCTGAGCCAAACCAGCCAGGGCTAAAATGTATTGTTTTAATGGTTACACAACTCTGTAAATATACTAAAAACCACTGGATTATATACTTCAAATAGGTGAATGTCAGTAAGGTATATGTAGGAGGAGGAATAATGATCCTCAAAGATATCAGATTCTGATCCCTGAAAACAGCAAATATTACCTTATATGGGTATAGTCTTTGTAGCTGTGATTAAGTTAAGGCAGCGATTTTCAACCTCTTTCATTTCATGGCACACAAAAACTAATTACCAAAATTCTGCGGCGCACCAAAAAATGTATTTTTTGCCAATCTGGCCAAAAAATAGGTATAATTTTTATTCATTTACACTAGATGGCTATTGTGTTGGCTGTTGTCATTTTAGTGTTTGACAATCCAAGGGAAAAAAGATCAGTGCCCCTAACTAGTCAGGTACTGCATATTTTTTAAATTCTTGAAACAAACCAATTGAAAATTGCTGAGTTAAGATACATATTTGAGATGAGGAAATAATCCTGGATTATCTGGCTGGGCTCTAAATGCAATCATAGGTACCCCTATAAGTGGGGGATTTCTCACACAAACAAGAAGGCATTGTGATTACAGAGGCAGAGATCAGTGATGTGACCACAGGTCAAGGAATACAAGCAGCCACCAGAAGTAGGAAGAGGGAATTCTCTGCTACACCCTCTGGAATGACTACAGCCCTACTGACACCTTAATTTTGGCCCAGTAATAATGATTTTGGGTTTCTGGTCCCCCCAGAACTGTGAGAGAATAAATTTCTGATTTTTTTTTAAGGCACCAAATTCAGGTTATTTATTACAGCAGCCATAAAAAATACAGTTTGAGAATTATATCTCAATAGAGCTGTTATCAAAAATAGTTTTACTATAACAATAATTATTTTATATTTTATTGTGGATTTTTTTGTTCATGTACTTTAATTAATTAATTAATTAATTAATTAATTAATTTTTGTTAATTCTCACCTGAGGATATCTTTCCATTCATTTTTATTTAAAAAAATTTTTTTTCCTTTATTGGTTTTTAGAGAAAGAGGAAGGAAGAGGGTGAGAGAGATAGAAACATTAATGAGAGAGAACATTGATTGGCCACCTCCTGCATGCCCCTCACTGGGGATTTGACCCACAACCCAGGCATGTGCCCAGGCCACAGGAATTTAACCAGTGACCTCTTGGTGCATGGGTCAATGCTCAACCACTGAGCCACACTGGCTGGGCCCAATCATTTTTAGAAAGAAAGAATGGGAGGGAGCAAGGGAGGGAGAAGGAAGAGTGGGGTTGGGCAGAGAGCAAGAGAAACATCCATGTGAAAGAGACACACTGATTGGTTCCCTCCTGCATGTGCCCTGACTGACCAACCAATGGAGGGGATGGGGGGGTCAGGGATCTAACCTGCAACCCAGGTATATGCCCTTGACTGAGAATCAAACCCGCAACCCTTCAGTGCATGGGCCAGAGCTCTAACCACTGAGTCACATCTGCCAGGGCTGTTCATTTACTTTATATTTCTAATGTATTTTTATATATGCTATTATAATTTTCTGTAAACTTATAAAGTTTAAAAGTGCCCTATTGCCTTTATTAATTTTAAAATTTACAAATATAAAACTTGAACACAAATGTAAAAAGTCTTATTTCTATTAGATTATTTTTAACCTTGAAATCTGCTCAGTTTTGTTTGTTTGATTGCTTATTTTCATTATCAGATATTCCTTTAACAATTCTCTTAATTTTATCTTTTTTTGTCATTTTGTATTAGGTGCTTTACTTATAAAGTGCAAATAATATTTTTTTCAGTTATCAAAAATCACCCATCACAAGACAGACTATTGACTTAAGAAAGCTTTTGGGCCCTGGCCGGTTTTGCTCAGCAGTTAGAGCATCAGTCCGTGGACCAGAGAGACCCGGGTTTGGTTCCTGCTAAGGGCACATACCTCAGTTGCAGTTTGTCCCTGGCCCCGGTTGGGGTTGTGTGGGTGGCAGCCAGTTGATGTGTCTCTCTCACATTAATGTTTCTCTCTTTCTCTTCCTCTCTCACTCCCTCTCGTTCTATCTGAAGATGAATGCAAAAGTATCCTCGGATGAGGATAAAAAAAGAGAAAACCTCTTTTCCGTCCTTCTGGTTTTGATTTATCTGATACCAACAGAATAATCCATGTATTAAAAAATATACATTCTTGAGGAAATTTATATAGAGAATAATACTTTTTCTGGCAAAACTGAATTTACATACACACTAAAAAATTTCAATCATTCAAATTTTGTAAAATATTCTACTTTGTTTTTTTGGTACATGCCCCTAGCAGGAACCGAACCCGGGACTCTCTGGTCTGCAGGCTGATGCTCCAACCACTGAGCCAAACCGGGCAGGGCTAAAATATTCTACTTTTATTTTCCATTGGAAAAAAGGAAAGAATGATAAAAAATGGCTACTTGTAAAAGAAAGATTTGTTCAATAGAGTGGTATATTTGGTATATTTGACTATTCATTTTGGGGGGGGGATGAAGTTAAATTCTCCCTTAATTATTTATCAAAATAAGTTTCTAATTAATTTAAAAAATAAAAAGAGTTAGAAAAAAATGGGTGAATATTTAGCTCATCTTGGGAAGCACAGAACCTTCTAAGTATAGAAGCAGTGGGAAAGACATAAAAAAATCAATAGTTTCTTTACATAAACATTTTAAAAATTTTCTGTGAGTTAGAAAACATCTTTTAAAATCATTGAACAATTGAGAAACCTTGAATAATATCGGCTTGGTGAGTTAGATTTAGATAAGGAGGTGGTTCAGAGTATGAGCTCTAGATCATGGGGGAGATATGAACAACTTTGACCATTAGTTTGGCCCTGTGACTAATGGATACCAAATAGACAAATACAGAATGTAAGAAAACACAGAACATAACTAAGACAGGATTGCCCATTTCTTATCTATGTGGTAATCATTTCAAGAAAGATTTCGGAAATTCTTCGGACAGAACCTGGAAATTGTATGCAGTGCATAGTCGTTATCTTCAATGGAATAAGAGTGTAGGAGAGCAAGAGGAAAAAGTTACCTTGACTCTGGGATTCAGAGAAAAACAAGGAGAATTAGAAGAAAGATGTGAAAAGAATATAAATCAGGCTATGGAAGACTTAGGACTTTGGTACCATTAAATTGCTTCTTTGGCTCATTCCATTACAATAGAATCATACTTTCTTAGATGCAATGTTATGTAGACTTTGAAACCAAACTGTGTGAATACAAATTTCATCAGCTCCACTGTGAGACTTTGTGCATGTTACTTAACCTTTCTGCATTTCATCTATGAAATTAGGAATAACTATTGCTGAGAGACTTACCTGAATTAATATACAAGGTGGGGCAAAAGTAGGTTTACAGCTTTTCATATGGAAAATAATACAATAATTAATAAATACTAATACAAAAATAAATTCTGTCTTTCATGTACTCAACTGTAAATCTACTTTTGCCCTGCCCTGCATGTATAGTGTAGGACAGTGCCTGGCCCATAAATTTTAGATCTCATTATTATTTGTATAACCAGATTGCACTGAATACAAGAAGATGGTTTTTCTTGATCATATCCAAAGGTGTCAGTGGAAGTTTTTCACACTTTCACATCATGAGTACCACTGATTGAAAGAAACTGTAAGAGCTTTTGATTTTAAGATGTAACCATAATTTCAGAGGTGTTAAAATATTTTAAAGTGTGCATCTTAGAATCGATAAAATAAGTTATTATGCTTTCATTTAATTTAATTCTAAGTTAACATATATGTGACATCCACCAAAAGACAACTGAAACTGGCAAAATAATTTGAGTCAAATAATGAATAATGTAACTTCTTACTTCTGTAAATTCCATTGTGTTCAATCTTCGTTCTATTGAATCAGCAATATTCAACTGTTTGCAACGTGCCTCTAATTATAGAATAAAGGTTATTTTCTAATTAGTGTGGTTACAATACATTCATATTTTATATTCATATTATAGTGTTTTAAAATAAAAACATAAAAGTATTTCTTAATGTCCATCAATATTTACAATAAAGTAAATGATATATCATTGGCTAACATTCTAATTACTACAGAATTATTATTTTTCCTGGATGAAAACACTGAAAAGAAAGTGCCTACCTTTTGGATGACCAGGTTGAAATGAAGCAGAAATAAATACACACATTGACTGTATAAAAAACTACACACACATATCTTTTGATTTTCTATATATAAATGTGATTATATTGATCTGCAACTTGCTTTTTTTACTTAACCACTCATCTTGCAGATCTTTTCAAATAGAATCGGGAGCTCAGGGGGAAGGTTTGGGATGGGAATATGGATGAGAGTCATTAGTTGAAGTCATGATTTCAATAAGAAAAGTGTGTATAGTGTGTAAAGCAATAATACAGACAAAAAGGAAACTCTGGAAAACAACATTTAAGGTGCAAAGAAGAACTGCCCTGGCCAGTTTGGCTCAGCAGTTAGAGCATCGGCCCGCAGACCAATCAGTCACAGGTTCGATTCCGGTCAAGGACATGTATCTCAGTTGTGGTTTGGTTCCCAGCCTCGGTCAGGGTCGTGCAGGAGGCAACCAGTCAATGTGTCTCTCTCACGTAGATGTTTCTCTCTCTCTTTCTCCCTCCCACTCTATCTGAAGATAAATGGAAAAACATCCTCAGGTGGGAATTTAAAAAAAAGAAAAGAAGAGCCAAGAAACAAAAATGCTAAAGGGTGATCACAGATAGAAGTAAAAATCATGAGAGAATGATATCACAAAAGCAAAGAAAAAAAGTTTCATAAATAACAGAGTGATAATGGTGAATGTTAGTTTGAATAAAGATTTTTTTAAACTTCCACTTAATGTGATAATTATGTGATCCTTACTGATTACCAAGACACAAAAAAGCAAATTGTAAAAAAGCTCAAGATGAAAGAACAACTACACTGGCTTCCTCTCCTACTTCTAACAGTAATTCCTCCTGCCAATCATGGGCTGGTGTATAAAAATATTCTTTAGTCACTCTTGATTTTTTTTAACTGCTTATTATAAGATGTCAGTTATTATCATAAAAGGACTGTATAAACTTTAGTAAAGCTTAAGCATTAGTTATCCCATCCCACACTTTCCCCCAAGCTCTGGAAGATTATGCAAGTCAGACTGGTTTCTACTAGTAATAGTTGTTGTTAAGTATATGTGTCTGTCCCCTGGCTGGACTTTGAGCAATTTAAGGGCAGTGGAAACATATCTTAGTCTTCTTTGTATCTTCTACCCCATCACAGTATCTGGAACTAAGTGAGGGCTCAATAAATATTGAATGAATAAATGGTACAGAAAATAAATACTATATAATATAGAAGGTGAGAGAAGAAACAATCACTGTCAACTAGAGTGTTCTAAATTTCTCTAATTTTATCACTCTTCAATAGAGATCTCTTAACTCATTCCTTCTGTACCCTCATCAAAAACTAAATAAATAAAACTAGTCATTTCAAAAAAAATTTTAAAGGGGAGTTGATGTTGTGCTGACTGTGAAGAATTATAGTTTTTGGATAGGCTGAAAAGGTAGAAAGAGAAAAGTCTGCCAGCAAGGCCCAAACCATGTTTGAGGAACAGAGATTGGGAGGGTGGAAAGTATATTTTATTTTCAAAAGTGAGAACAGATGTCAAACAACCTATTGTTATCAATGTAATAAAGTGGTAAAAATCAATGGGCTATAAATTTTATAAATCTCAGGACCCAAACTGTAGTTCTGTATTCAATAAGTCAGGTGTTCCTTCTTTCTTTCTTTCTTTCTTTCTTTCTTTCTTTCTTTCTTTCTTTCTTTCTTTCTTTCTTTCTTTCTTTCTTTCTTTCTTTCTTTTTCTTTCTCTCTTAATCTCATATAAGAAAACCTTTCTGAAAACAAAAGCCTCAAAATCTGTGGCCATCTATAGGTATAGTACTGTCTCCCCAGTGAGCATGGAGGAATATGTAGGTGAGTCTTTGTTGCATAATGATGGGGAGTAGGAATAGGGGCAGAACTCCTACAATTCCTTTACAAGAAAGACCCTCTCCCTCCTGCCAGACATTCAGGTAGGTGAAATATCTGCTTAGAATAATTTGGAATCTAGAACCTAACTCCATTTTACATATAAACGCAGAAAGTACTTTTTGCTGTTGAATTTTTGAAGAATGTAACTACTATGAAAATTTAAGAGAGGATTGTACTCTGCTTTGTTCTGGAACTTTACCAAGAAATTATTACAGAAATTTATGTAATGGGAGGTACTATATATTGTATCTGAACTCCAATACAACACACTTGTGTCAGTCTGCATTTTATAGTTCTCTTGTTCATGGGGATTCTACAGATATATATACAAATCCATTCATTTAGCCCTTATTTCAAAATTTCAAATACTAAGAAATGGTCAATTGGATATAATTTTACTTTTCTTATATCTAAACATTATAAGTAGGTACAAATGTTACTATACCTTCATTGTGTTATGAAGTTATAATCAAGCATTTATATATTGAAATACAGTGCATATAATTTTTATACATTGTATTTCTACTTTGGATCACATTTATGACATTATACCTTTCTTTTAAAATTCTGTGTATGTAAGTAATATTTTTCTAGGAATTTTACAGGATAATAAGAAGATATTACAGCCCTGGAAGGTTTGGCTCAGTGATTAGAGCTTCGGCCCACAGACCAAGGAGTTGTGGGTTTGATTCAGCCAAGGGCATGCACCTCAGTTGTGGTTAGGTCCCTGGCCCTGGTTGGGGTTGTGCAGGAGGCAACCAGTCAATGTGTCTCTCTCACATCAATGTTTCTCTCTCTCTCCCTCACTCCTTCCCACTCTATCTGAAGATAAATGGAAAAAAAATATATCCTCAGGTGAGGATGAAAAAAAAGATATTACAGAATAATTGTAATAAATTGGGGCACTAGACTAAAAGGACTGAAGATTGCTTCTCTCGTTTTCTACATTCTCCATCTGGAAAGAGCAAACAAGCTTAAGTACATCTGTAAGGGCTTTGAATAACATCCATCTCAATATTGACTCTTCATCTTAATTCAGCATCCCTTCTTTTCCCCCCAAAAAGAGAAAAAAACATGCATACTATAGTAATAAGCATGCTTACCAAGCTGGAAATCTGACTTTTGAAAAAATTCATGAAGAACATTCTGAATCTACAAATCAGAGAGATCATATATTACTTCTCAATTACCATATATTTAGTATTTTTAGACTAAAGCCATCTATAATTTTTCAGTTTAAGTCCTAAGTAATCCTCTTAACCCAGGGGCAGAAATAGTAAAAATTAATATTTAGTTTATAGAATACCTCAAGGTATGCAAAATGCTTTCATGTATATGTCCTCAATGATTCCCAACCTTTTTGTGTAAAAACTAGGATGCTAAGAGTGATTCTATTTTGCCCCCTCCAGGGCCATATCTATCAACCGTTGGATGTGGGACATGATGGAACTAAGGCACCTTTGGCAACCAACTTGGCAATCCAAAGAATCCTCTATAACTTCCCATTCTTCAATTACAAAAAAGAAAAAGAAATTTCAGAGTTTTTCTTGGCCCATTTGTTAAAAACAGCATTTATTCTTTAGAGCTGTTTTAGGTTCATAGCAAACTGAACAAAAAGTATAGAGAGGTCCCATATACTCTGCCTACTATCACATACACAGCTTCCTCCATTATCAACATCTCCCACCACAGTGGTACATTTGTTTCAATCGATAAACCTTCATTGAAACATCATAACCCAAATTTCTTCATTTACATTTGGGATCATTCTTGGTGTTGTACATTATAAGAATTTTGACAAATGTATAATGACATGTATCCATCATTATGGTATCATATAGACTTGTTTTACCACCCTAAAACCCCTCTGTGCTCTGCCTATTTATCCCTCCTTCCCCTCTCACTCCTGGAAACCATATCTTTTTACTGCCTCCACAGTTTTTTAACTTTTCCAGAATATCATTGAGTTGGAATCATACAGTATGTAGCCTTTTCAGATTGGCTCCTTTCAATTAGTAATATGCATTTAGGGTTCCTCCATGTCTATTCATGGCATGATAGCTCATTTCTTTCTAGCACTGAATAACAGTCCACTGTCTGAATGTACCACAGTTTATTTATCCATTCACCTACTGAAGGACATCTTGATTGCTCCCAAATTTTGGCAATTAAAAATGAAGCTTCTATAAACACCTATGTACTGTACATGTTTTTGTGTAGACATAAGTTTTTAACTCCTTTGGGTATATACTAAGGAAGATGATGGCTGGATCATATGGTAAGAGTATGTTTAGTTTTATAAAAAAAATGCCAAATAGCCCTGGCCAGGTAACTAAATTGGTTGGAGCGTCACCCTGGAACTCCAAGGTTGTGGGTTCGATCCCTGGTCAGGGCACACAGAAGAATCAATCAATGAATGCATAAATAAGTGGAATAACAAATTGATATTTCTCTCTCTCCCTCTCTCTCTAAAATCAATCAATAAATGAAAAAGAAAAAAAAGAGAAACTTCCAAAGTGGCTGTATCATTTTGCATTACCACCAACAATTAATGAAAGTTCCTGTAGCTGCACATCTTTGTTAGCATTTAGTGTTCTCAGTATTTTGGAATTTGGGCATTCTGATAGGTGAGTAGTGGTATTTCATTGCTGTTTTAATTCACATTTCCCTGATAACATATGTGGAACATCTTTTGAAATGCTTATTTGTCATCTGGATATCTTTGGGGAATTGTCTGTTTAGGTCTTTTACCCATTTTTTAATTGGTTGTTTGTATTCTTATTGTTGAGTTTTAAGAGTTCTTGGTATATTTTGGATAATAGTCCTTTATCAGATATGTCTTTTGCAAATATTTTCTCCCAGTCTATGGCTTAGTTTCCTTGGTCTATTTTTAATAATTCACTTTAGGAGGGTTGAGGGACTGGATGAAAAAGGTGAAGGGATTAATAAAAAATTAAATAACCTCATAGACACAGACTACTGTATGGTGATTACCAGAGGAAAGAGGGTGAGAGGGATAAAGGGATAAAGGAGGAATAAATGGTGATAGAAGGAGATTTGACTTGAGGTGGTGAACAATGTACAATACAATATACAGATGATGTATTGTAGAATTAAATACCTGAAATCCACATAATTTCATTAACCAATGTCACCCCGATAAATTCAATAAAAAAATCACTTTGAATCAAAAATATGCTTGTCATTTTATCTAACCAGTAAGTATGCTTATATCTGTATATACCTAAGAGAAAATATTTAACTCTTAGAGTACAGATATCTTCTGGAACTAAGATAGCCTCTTAGCCCACAGAAATAATTAGTCACACACATACATAAAACAAACAAGCAAATGAAAGCTATTGTCTGTCTGTGATGAAGAGTTTAGGAATCTCAGCCAGAGTTAATGTATTTTAGAACTCTAGCTAGAATTTTCAAAAATACTCAAGAAAATTAAAGAAATCTACTCTCATGGACTACATGCGTCAAGAATTGACTTAGTCAGCAGGATTGAAATTTTAGAGGGAGGTTTTCAGTACTCCACTCAGTATTCTAGCAATCATCTTCTTATTTTCCACCTTACCTATCCTTCACAAACACCTCCTTTCTTACCACTGTCAAAGGAATCGTTCCTTTGGGGTCTAGAATCCATTCATTGAACTGCTCCTGCAGAGCCTGTTTCCGTGTGTTGGCCACCTTGACTTTAACTTCGTTTATGTGTTCTCTTTGTTTTTGTTTCTCTTTAACTTTCTCCTTCATCTTGGATACTCTGAAGGATATAAAAATAGAAGACATGTTAAGACCACTGGATTTGATTCAGATTTTTCAAATGGCAGAATACAAGAGTTTAGAGCCTCATATAAACTTTGTACCTGTTTTTTCTCCATGAAACTGTTCCTGATGCAAGCCTGCAGCACATTAATCATAGGCTGTCTTCTACTATTATTTGACTTTTTATAGAGGTAGGCCTTATCTTACCCAACTAAATACTATACTTAAGAAGTACTAAGAATAGCCCTAGAAGCTGCCACATATACACTAAAAGCAAGGCCTTAAGGTGGTGGGCCTCTCTGAAGGACTCTGATTCAAGGTCTAGGGTGGGAGCCTGAAAGATGCATTTATAACAAGCATCTCAAGTATTTCTGATGCCTTGGACCAAACTTTTTATTTCTGTCTAGGAATATATGTTGTCAGTTTCCTTTATCCAACCAGAATTAAGTATCTTGACAGCCCCTGAGCATAATAGTTACCCTTGTACTCAGCAGAGCTGTATCACACAGGCAGAAAATGGAGGAAGAATTGTGATTTTAATTGTTCTTATGTTCATTCATCATCCATATTAGAACTTCAAAATCTCCAAATTGGTTTTGACTGAAACACTAAAATGGCTCAGAATAATAAAAATAGCTGCTGGTTTCAAATACAATTTTCCAATAATGTTTGAGGCAGGTCTTCATCTTTCTTTCTTTTTTTAAAAAAATATATTTGTTCTTTATTTATTTTAGAGAGAGGGAGAGAGAGTTAGAAACATCAATGAGAACATGGATTGGCCACCTGCTGCACGCCCTCCCACCCCCGACAGAGAATCCAACTGGCGACCTCTTGGTACACAGATTGACGCTCAACCAACACCAGCCAGGCAGTCTTCATCTTTCAAAGAAGAAAGACTAAAGAACTGGTCATTTGGATACCCCTAATAATCAAAAAAACAAAACCCTAAAATCGAAGTCATTACTTTATGCCCATATAAGGCCTTCAAAATTCTCCAGGAAAATAAGCCTTCAAAAATAAACTTTGAGTTTGAAACCCAAAAAAGGTAAGTGGTTTAATAGTGTAGAAGGGCCTCTTTCTGAACTGCTAGAAGATTCACTAGCATTTTAAAGAAAGTTCTCAGTTCCTGTGATACAACTGCTAAGCAGCCAAACCTCTACCACTTACCTCAGAGTCCCCATTCGCTTCCTCTCTGGCTCTTCTGCTCTTCCCCTACTCTTTCTCCTGTTACTTTTTCTCTCTCTCTCTGCTTCTCCTCTTCATTTCTCTCCCCTTTCCCTCTCTCCACTTCTCTATAAAGCATTCTCCTAAATTTCTGTCTTCATTCCTGTTTGGCTTTCTATTCTGTGGCTGTCTTTCTCCTAGCTTTGTTTCAATATTCACTCACTTAACTCACTAAGTCAGTCACTTAATCACTCATTACAACAAACATTTATTGAGCACTGGCTATGGATTCTGCTGTTATCAAGCTTAGGGTACAATGCAGAAGAGTTAAGTAAATAATATTGTACAGTAAGTACTAAGTGTCTCCAGATTTTTATGTGTATTGATCACTGAAACACAAAAATGGATTATCAAAATTGGGTTTCTGTCATATTTCCATTAGCCTGAAATATTTTTATCTCTCTTTTTGCATTACTAAACCCTATTACATACATTTGGGTATAAGAGCTATTCAAATACTACTTACAAAAGCATTTCCTTATCTATCCAACTCACTGTTAGCATAATCTACTTTATTGAATTGACAAAACATGATATTCAATACAGATTGACAAGATGACTAATATTAATAATATAACCTCAGGAGAAGCACCTATGGCATTTCCTAGCATAATGTAAGTACAAGGGTTTGGCTCAGTAAAGAGGTGGCAGCTGGTGTGGAGTATGAGCAGACAGACATCTGTCTAGGAAGTCACTGTCTCCTGGCAACTGACGAAGCCCCATATCAAGGATGAAACACTCCTTCAGTCTTGCCAAGTCCTAGTGCTGGCATCTTGTAATGATGAGTTAGACATTTTGGTGGTTTTTTTTTTTGTTTTTTTTTTTAATACAAAGAGTAAGAACTTTGAAGTAAACCTTCAAACCCTTTGCAGAAACCACATTCCAGCAGAAACATATACAACATATTTGTCACATAATCTGCACAAGTTCCTTGAACACTGTACATGAGTTAATTTGCAGAGAATTATTATATGTAAAATAGGGGCATGTGTCTCTTTTCCCTTTTAGTTTTCACTTGGTTTGTGTTTCCTTAATGCTTGGGCATTTATACTGGCTTATTATCTACTTTATGTAGCTGTGGTAGAGAAAGTAATTCTATGGTCTACTTCTTTGTGAGTCTTTCTCTTCATGAATTAAGTGTTTTATTATTAGTCCAAAGACTTATGAAGTAGAGTCACAGGAAAAGTGCCCAAAAGATATCTCAAAGTTTATCATAGACACTTACTGATTATGAAATAAGCAACAGATGTAGGGACCAGAGATCATTACCAAGCCAGAACTGGATATACATAACTATAACTACCACACAGTAAAAGATCCAACTTTTTGCTTTGGATTCCTTAGATCTACTTCCTAGTTCATTTAAACTCTCAATTCCAGGATCAAGACTATATATCAGGACTGGTGGAGAAGAAAGAAAATTTATAGTATAATAGACCCTGCTTCTCTGGAATAGAATTAATGTGACATTCTAACATTAATAATTGTTCTTTAGCCCTGGCCGGTTTGGCTCAGCGGTTAGAGCGTTGGCCTGCGGTCGGGGAGAGACCTGGGTTTGGTTCCCACTAAGGGCACGTACCTCGGTTGCAGTTTGTCCCTGGCCCTGGTTGGGTTGTGCGGGTGGCAGCCACTTGATGTGTCCCTTTCACGTCGATGTTTCTCTCTCTCTCCCTCTCTCTCTCCCTCTCCCTCTCTTTCCCTCCCACTCTATCTGAACAAAAAATGGAAAAATGTCCTCCAGTGAGGATAAAAAAATAATAATAATAATAATTGTTCTTTATAATCCTACTTTTATTGTTTAAATTTTTTGGTTTTGAAAATATCATACAATAAAATTGACCTTTTTGGTACATAGTTGTACAAATTTCAACACATGTATAAACATGTCTAACCATCACCATAATCAAGATATTGAAAATTTATAACCCTATTTTAAGAGCAAATTTTTTTTATTATCAATTCACAAGGCAGTAGTAATTTATAGAATATGTATTCTCAATCATTGGAGAAATTAAGAGTCAGAGGGATGCTAAAAAAAAAAGAAAGAAAAAGAAAAGAAAACATGAAGAAAAACAAAATGATACAAACCTAATCTCCTTATTTATCGGTTTTGCAAAATTACATGTAAGGATTAAAGGCCACTTTAATACTATACCTCTCTTCCAGGAACCCTGATGAAAAGCAATAAAAGTATTGCATATGTAAAACTTACAAACAGCAGTAATATTTTATTTTTCAGATAAGTGGCTACCACTATAAAAATTGTTTCAAATCAGTAAGGAGTGTTTTTTCGATCTATTGTCCTTAGACACTGAACAGGATTAGTCCCTTTTTGTTCTGGGAAGCCGGCAGATAAAAACTTCAGCTCAGGCTGAGGCAAATGAATGTTTTAACATTATCACCAGGAGATAAATTCTTGACAAACCAAATAAAAATTGTCTTTTGTCTTAAAAATAAATAAGGAAAACTTTTATTTGTAAAATAGACTTTTCCAAAGCTCTCCAATGGGTGAAGAACAATACAAACAATGATACAGTTCAGAGAATTTAAAAGCAGGACTATTTTTGCTAACATGCTGGGTATCCAAGTTGTAAGTCAATAGATACTGTGCTGTTGTAAAGCATCCCTAGGATTTCTGAGTGTTCTATAACTGCCTGACATTATCACATGTTGACGTATAGATCTTGGGTTTTTGCCAGAGAGAGATAAAGCCCTAATCCTGACAATCCAGCCCCGCCCCCCAAAGTATCTTTGATTACTTAAACCCTTTCATGAAATTCCTACAACAGTATTGATCTGATAGAAACTAGGGATCTTATCAAACCTCAAATAACCCTAAACATTGAAACTCCCAGTTCAAGAAACATCAGTGAAATAAACTAATCCTATTGTACCATGCTATTGGCTGTCAACAGAGCCTAGACCAGGGTCCTACTATGCTCAATACTATCCTTACTATAAAGATACTTAAAAAAATGCCTAGAGTTTTATGTACTGACTGAGATTTACATATCCCTAACAGAAGAACAAATTTGTCAAATATTGATTTACAGCCTTGACACCAGTTCCCAAGTTTTAAGGTTAAAAAAAAAAAAGAAATAGAGATAAATACAAATCTAATCTATTGCTCTGCAAGAACAGATGGTGAACACAAATGTTCTCTAAGCTGTTTATTAAATTTAATGACACTGCTGTTGGAACTTTTCACTAGTACTAAAACTCCCTTAATTTGGTTTCACTGAATGTTTGGTCTTGAAAATTTAGTGCATAATAATCTCCCATAAAACCTATATTCCTAGCAGCTCTGATTCAGAAGATCTGAGAAAGAAGCTAGAAATTTGTACTTTTAACCAAGTACCCAGGTAATTCTGATGTCATTGGTAGGTAACCATACTATTATAAAGACTGTTTAACTGAAATAAAAATTCCATGTCTACAAATAAAGTAAAACAAGAGTTCTTACATATTTCTTACTTTATTCCAGAGGAATATATGTACCTAATTCCAAAAAATTATCATTCTAACTCTCCTAATTAGTTGATTAACCTACAGAAAGGAAACTAAAACAAGTCACAAAGAATTTTAAGTACCTGTATAAATTTTAATATAAGGATCCATGCCAGAAGACATTCAAAAGAAAATATGGAGATTCAAGAAGAGATTACAAGTGTCTTGTTTGTTTTTTAGATCTGGAAGAGACCTAACAGATATGACCTAGACAAAGAGTCAGCAAACTACAACCTGGGGGCCAAATCTGGCCTGCTACCTCATTTT